CCGGCCCGCGCGGGCCAGCTTCTGGGCCTGCGCATGAACGCCGCCGACGACGAGCTCCCTGCCGCAGTCAACGCGATTAAGCCTCTGAGTGCCGTCAGCATCTTCAACGAGGACAACCCCGATTTCCAGGTGCTTCCCGCGGGCCATATCTTCAAGGTTAACGACGTCCTGTGGCGCAGCAACTGTCGCGAGTTCGCGCAGCGCTTGGAGCAGCAGTTCACTGGGTCCAAGCGCACGGGCGTCATGCGATTGTGGGTCCAGAGGCCGGAGGGCCTTGACGGGCGACGAGTCCATCCCTCGTTGCGTGGAATACTCGGTCGAGCTGATTATCTCGTCGCCGCCGACCGCGGGCAGGAAACTGAACGCGACCAGTGAGGGCCCAGTCTTCATCGGCGAGCTCTCGGAAGTGAATGTGAATGGAGCGGCCGCCAGCATCAGCAGTTGGGGCGAAGCACATGTTTTGAAGGACATCCAGGTCGGCGACCAGATCATCCAGGGTGACGACAACCTTTGGCACAACAACGCGAAGATCTTCAGGAGACACCTCAGCCACCAGCTTGCGGGCGCCGCGAGCAGCCCCGGCAAGGGCAGCGTCTAGGCGCTGCTCCGCAGGCCCCATGCCGCGGCCTCTCACGCGGTCCGACGATGACGGAGGGCCCCATGCGCTCGCAACGCTACGCCTGTGCAGTAGTGCGTGCATGCGTGCCTTCATGGCGAGCAACAGATCAATGGCGTCGCCCCGTCATCTGGATATCGCGCGCGCGCCCCCCCCGCCGCCCCGCGCCCCGCCATGCCCTCCGTGGGCAACGCGGGCGCGGGGGAATCTGATAGTAGTTCGATGCTCGGTGGCTGGCCATGTCTGACCATGCCGCTTGGGCGTGGCCTGGCTGGGCGTGCGCTCTCAAGGAGGGCGCGCGTTAGTTCTGCGGCCAGACAGCCGGCCCCTCTTGAGAAAAAAAGAACGGCCAATATGATTTCCGGATAGCGCAGCATGGATTCCAGGTCGGTCCAGGATTTTCCCGGATGGTCTCGGCGCGGCCCGGGGCGGCCCCCAGGGCGCCCCGAGACGGCTCAAAGAGGGCCCCCAAGAGAGCCCCAAGAGGCAACATCCGTTCCCCGGCAGCCATTTGGTTTCAAGCCATTCTGCGGGTGCCAGTCTCCGCGAGCACCAGCGGAGAGCAGTGACAGCGCGCGCGGGATCAGCCTGCGCCGGCGATGCCACGGGTGCCATGGCAACGCGTCTGTGCATCGCGATTGCATTGGCAATGATTTCAGCGGGGCTGGTGTTTCTGCCTACTGTGCGGGGTCATGGCTACAACGTGATTGCCGTCGATCTCACCTCAACGTCGACGCTCGCCAAATCTCGACCGAGCCCAAATATGTCTGAATCAGAACCGATGTCCATGGGGAGGTTGTCAGTCTGTGGTGGAGCGGCATCCTCATTGGCATCCCCGATGATCGCCAGCATCTTTCGCGGACGCACTCGTGGCCATTTTCTTCGACGACGAATGGGGGCGCAGAGGAGATGGGAAATTGCATTCGGATCTGCGTCCGAAGTGTGATTGGACACATACATGACCCAACATAAGTAGGTGTGCGAGAGACAATCCGAAGAGGGGACAGTAGTGCACCCATGAGGAGCAGCAGCGGTGGGCCGTCATGGAGGCGATTCGCAGGCCTCACAGATAATGGAAGAAATAATGTATCATTCTATGATTCCGCCACAGTTGTGGTAGCAGAATACCGATGCTTACGGCTCAAAGTCAACTTTTGGGCGCGGGTCGGGGAGGGAAGTTCGGTTGGTCTGCGGGTTCGGCGTGCGCTGCAAACGCTGCAGACGCGCATATGTTGCACATGGTATCCATTTTGCGTTTGTGTGAAAGTTCTCTCGGCGCGTGACTTCCAGGGTCGGAGCCGTTTCAAGTGGCGGGCCAGCGCGGCGTCTTGACCCCGATTTTTTTCGATGGGTTATCTTGTCGCGATCTAGGCGAGTCTAGGCAAAAAAACAGGGGTCGACGCGCATCCCAGTCTTTGAGGAAGCGGGCGCGGTTAGTGCAAGGCGTTTTTTTTGGTGTGTTGGGGGGGGGAATTTCAATTGACAGTTCGAGCCCTCCGCCCCGAGAGAACGGGTTCAAAATTGTCTCCAATGGCCTCCCCATAGGCTTTCCAATGGACCCAGCGTGCATCCAACAGGCTTCTGACCCATAGCGCAGTGGCAGGATTTTGGCGCGCTCGCCCTTGACGGCCTGGGTGGCCCCAAATATCGGCCCAAGAGACCCCCGAAAATGCACGCCGAAGCCCCGAGAGGCCCCAAGACGGGGTCAACAGCGGAGTGGCGAAGGTGATTTCAAGGGCCCCAGGCAACGCTCATAGGCCGCCAACGCGGCGCCAAGACGGCCTATGTTGGTCGCAGGATTGCCCGGACAGTCCCCAACACGACGAGAAGCCGGCCCCAGAGGCGCTCGAGGAAGTTTCCGAAAAGCCAAGAGTATCAAACGCGCATGGTTTTCTCAACCATTTTATGATTCAGGTTTTTTTCCTGTAGCAGCAGCCAAGGCCGCCGCTGCGGCCCCCAAAATTGCCCAGAGACGGCCCAGGAGGCCCCCAAAGGGGCAACAAAACAGCCCAAAGCGGCGCCAAAATGGCCCAAGAGACGCCCAAGGAACGCCCAAATACTTTCGACAGAGGGTTCCAAGTGGGCTTCCGATGGCGTCTGTCGGACAGCGAGCGCTTTCAAACAGCCTACGGGGCCCCCCAGAGATCCCGACAGATTTTCAAGAGGCTCCAAGAACCCCCCACGAGGCTACCAACAGTCTCCCCAAAGCTCCCCCAGAGGGTCCACGTAGGTCCACACTAGGCCCGCCCCCAAACCTTACCAATTGGACGAGATGAGAGCCTGAAAACGGCCCGAGAGAGCTACACAACTGCTTAAGAAACCGTTCGGATAGTTCAGGAGGCCTTCGCGACGGCCCCAAGAGGTCGCTCCAAAGGACCCATTTCTTTGCATTGTTTCGAATTGAAGCGTATGGGTGTACCCTTGTATTTAATGTGCGCTGGTTGGGTCCGCAGTCTTGCTGCTTTTTCAATACATCTTCACGGCAACAGTGGGCGTGGTTCTAGTGTATATATATATAAGTGTATATGTATGTATATGTTTATAGATGTATACATCGACATACATATGTATATTCACATGTACGGGATAAGGCGCTTTGTAGACGTTTGCCTGAAAGAGATCCCTTGGCACGTTCGAGCACCCCCCCCGACAACAAAAACCTTCGTAGCGCCCCTGGACACTGGCCTCTGTAACCGGGCCCCCACGCACCTCCAAGGGGAGGGGTTGTCGAACCTGGTTTCCCCTCGCTTCCTGCTCAACGAGGGGGGTGTTCGCACCGGGGAGGGCCCCTCCACCCGGAGTTGCAGGGGGGGGATTCGAACCAGCCCCCCCCCCGTCCACACGGCCCCGCGTGCCTGGTCGAGCCGGCAGGGCCATCGCGGGTCGGGTCGGGTCGGGCGGGCGGGGCGTCAAAGTGAAGAGTAAAGCATGCTGCGTCGTCCGCTTGGCACGCGAGAGCCTCAACAGCTGGGCCTGATCGAGCGGACCAGGCCCTCACGGGCGGGACTGGTCGGGCGGGCGGGACATCAAAGTGAAGAGTGCGGTATTATGCGTCGTCCAGTTGGCACGTGAGAGCCTCAACAGCTGTGTTTTTTCGAGCGGCTGGGCCCTCACGGGCGGGTCAGGTCGGGCGGGCGAGACGTGACAATATGGAGCACTGTATGCTGCATCATCCGGCTGGCACGCGAGAGCTCCAACACGAAAGGTCCGGCGACGACGATGTCGTTGTCATCATCATCATCATCATCGTCGTCGTCGTCGTCGTCGTCGTCTGCCCGACGGCGCCTTCGGCGCGGGCGCTCGCCGTCGTCGGTTGCAGCGGGGATGGGTTCGACCCCCCTCCTTGCAATTCAGTCGGGCCGCCCCCCCCCAGCTCGAACCCCCCTCCCCCTTCCCCTCTCCGCCCATGTATTTATCATCGAATCATCAACATCATCACCATCACCATCACCCTCAACATCGCCGTCGTCATCATCATCATCATCATCATCATTAGCATCAGCATCATTAGCATCAGCATCATCATAGTCATCGGCATGATCCCTATCATCATTATCACCACTACCATCACAATCACCATCACTATCAGCATCACCATCACCATCCCTATCATCATCACCACCAGCACCATCACCATCATAACCACCAGCACCCCATCACCATCATCATCATCGTCATCATCATCATCATCATTGCTGCCAACATCATCACCACCACCATCATCGAGATCTGCATCATCATCATCATCATCATCATCGTCATCATCATCATCATCATCATCCGCATCATCATCAACATCATCAATCTCATCATTACCATCATGATCAGGAACACGGCAGTTACCACCATCACCAACATCAGCATCATCATCATCATTATTACCATCATCATCAGTTTCAGTATCATCATCATCGTCATTGGTATCAGTATCATCACCATCATCCTTATTTGTATCATTATCATCACCACCACAGTCATCATCATCATCATCATCATCATCATCGTCATCATCATCATCATCATCATCATCATCATCATCATCAGCATCAGCATTAGCATCAGCATCAGCATCATCATCATCATCATCATCATCATCATCATCGTCATCATCATCATCATCACAATCGTCGTCGTCGTGGTCGTCGTCGTCGTTATCATCATCATCATCATCACCACCATCTATCTTTTCGTTATGCAGTTTTGAGGGTGCTCAAGCCTGCCCCTATGTTGGTCTGAAGAACTGTCCGCGAACGGTTCTCTTAGGGCAATCGGCCCGCTACGTAGTGTACTTGTTCAGGGGGGGAGGCTGCGGAGGATGATGGGGATGACAACGACGACGACGAGAACCGAGTGCCGTCGCGGCGGGGAGCGCCTTTCGGACCAGCGCGGGCAGGACTACGAGTACAGCTTCCAGCAGATGAAGCAGACGAACCTGGGCACCAAGAAAGTCCGCGACATACCTCCTGGCTACGCCAATGCCGAATGTACGGAATGTAAGGGGCGGAGGGGACGAGGGGGTGAGAGGAATGGGGGGAGGAGGAGTGGTGGGGGAAGGAGGAGACGAGGGAGCAGGAAGCAGGAGGGTGGATGAGGAGGAATGAGGGATGAGGGGGTCTGGACGGGGGCAGGATGAGGGGATATGAAGTGTGAGGAGTTTGAGGATGCGCTTGATTGTTTTTTGGGTTATTCCCATTGGACCCTGGCTTCTCTGGACCCTGCTGGACGTCCTCTTATAGATCAGTTGGGCCCTGTCGGAGGCATCTTCGGCCGTCTTGAGGCCATATTGGGCCGCCTTGGGGCCATCATGGACCGTCTTCGAGGCATCCTGGGCCATCTTGGTGTCCTCGGCTGCCTGCATGGGCCGTCCTGGAAGCTTGGGGCGCAAATTCATTCTGTTCTACGAGGGCTCGTGGCCTCGGGAGCGCGGCTCCATCGTTTTGTTGTACACGGGATCGTGGCCTCGGGGAGGGGGGGCGATGTATGCAGGGGGCGGGGGCATTGAGAGGGGGATGAAGGCTCGACCTTCAGACGGACACGACTGGTGGTGCGACAGGGGGGAGCTGTTTATGAGAACGAGGCATGACGGAGGAGGAGGAGGAGGAGGAGGAGGAGGAGGAGGAGGAGGAGGAGGAGGAGGAGGAGGAGGAGGAGGAGGACAAGGAGGAGGAGGAGGAGGAGGAGGAGGAGGAGGAGGAGGAAGACGAGGAGGACGAGGAGGGAGGAGGAGGGGGAGGAGGGAGGAGGGAGGAGGAGGAGGAGGAGGGAGGAGGGAGGAGGAGGAGGAGGAGGAGGAGAGGAGGAGGAGGAGGAGGGGAGGGAGGAGGAGGAGGAGGAGGAAGCGGAGGAGGAGGAGGAAGGGGAGGATTATGATGATGATGAGGAGGAGGCGCACGAACAAAAAAACGCCCCCCTCCGAGCGCGCGCCGAGCCTGGGCCCCTGCAAGGGTCACCCGCGGATCCGGCCCCCCACGGGAATGGAGCCGCCGAAGACCCCGCTGCTCCCCACAGGCAGGCTCCGACCAGCCGCCGCGGCGCCCTCCGTCCTTCTCCTCCTCCCTCCTCCTCCTCTCCTCCCCCTCCTCCTCCTCCTCCTCCTTCCTCCTTCTCCCTTCTCCTCCTCCTCCTCCTCCCTCCTCCCTCCTCCCTCCTTCCTCCTTCTCCTCCTCCTCCTCCTCCTCCCCCTCCTCCCTCCTCCTCCTCCTCCTTCCTCCTTCTCCTCCTCCTCCTCCTCCCTCCTCCTCCCTCCTCCTCCTCCTCCTCCTCCTCCTCGTCCTCCTCCTCCCTCTTCCTCCTCCTCCTCCCTCCTGCTCCTCCTCCTCCGCCTCCTCCTCCTCCTCTGGTGATGATGGTGATGACGAGGTTGATGATGAGCCTGTTGATGATGATTGTGATGATGATGATGGTGTCCCGATGACGATGATGTTGATGATGTTGACCATGAGGATGATTGTGTCCCGATGATGATGATGCTGATGATGAGGTGATGATGCTGATTTTGATGATGGTGGCCCGATGATGATGATGGTGCGGATGTTGATGATGATTGTGTCCCGATGGTGATGGCGATGATGATGACGATGGTGTTGGTGTCATGATGATGATGATGATGATGATGATGATGATGCTGATGATGATGATGTTGTCGATGATAATGATCATGGTGTCCCGATGATGTTGATGTTGATGCTGTTGTTCATGATGATAGTGACTGTGAGATAATGCTGATGATGATGGTGGTGTCCCGGTGATGATGATGATGTTGATGATGGTGATGGTGATGATGATGGTGCCCCGATGGTGATGATGATGGTGATGCTGATGATGTTGATGATGGTGATGAAGTGATGATAATGGTGATGATGGTGTCCCGATGATGATGATGATGATGATGATGATGATGATGATGAGGATGAGGATGAGGATGAGGATGAGGATGATGATGATGATGATGATGATGATGATGATCATAATGATGATGATGTAGATGACGTTGATGACGATGGTGTTGATGATGATGATGATGATGCTGATGATGATGATGATGATGATGATGATGATGATGATGATGATGATGATGATGATGATGACGTTGATTGTGAGATCGATTGTGATATCGATAGTGAGGTCGATAGCGAGATCGATTGTGAGATCGATTATCAGATCGATTGTGAAATCGATCTAATGAAATAGATCGAGTGAGATCGATTCTGAGATCGATCGAGTGAGATCGATCGAGCGATACCGATAGTGATATCGATAGTGAGATCGATAGTAAGACCGATCGAGTGAGACGTTGGTTCCTCCCCCCCCGAACCTTCTTATCACCCGAAGGGTGGTCGTATAGGTATACATGTGGAAGTTCGTGCAACAAAATCGAGAAGGGCGAGACGGGGACCATTCTAGGTTGCGCCAAGCACTTCAGGTTTTCATGGACCTCGAAGCTTTCGGCGTGGAAACTCTCCCGGGGGCGGCGCGGCGGTCAAGTCGTAGATTGCTCGCGAGCGCGGCAGCGCGCAAGAAGCAATGGATCATTGCTTCCCTTGACATCAACACGGCTTTCCTGAAGGGACTAACCCATCAGGAACTTGCTGAAGTAACCGGTGAAAAGGAACGCGTGGCGCGATTTTCACTGCCGCCTGGAACAGCATCGGTGCTTCGATCCCTCCCAGGATTTGAGCACTGCGATGAGTGGAAACATTGTTTACAGCGCCTCAAACCAGGCACCGGCACCAAGGACGCACCGAGAGCCTTCTCATTGAAGCTCAGAAAGACCACGAGAGGGTTCGATCTCAGACCCGCGTCGCACGACGAGGAGTTCGAGACAAGTTCCAACCTTCTGACAGCCAAGCACGTTGATGATATCAATCTGGGCGGTACTGAGGACACCATCGACAGGTATGTCAAGTGCGTTGAGGATACTTTTGGCAGGTGTAAACTCAACATACACACATCTATCAATTGTGTTGTGAGGTGCACGAAGGATGGGGGCGGGAGTGTTACGCTGGACCAAGAGGAATATACAAAATAGCTCCGTCCTGTACAACATCCTGAACTCACTGGCGCAGACGCTGGCGCCAAGGCATCACATATGGTCACTGACATGTTTGTCAGCCTCAGAGGCGCCCTGGCCTACGCCTTAATCGCGCCGGTGTGGTTGATGGTATATGTTGCATTCCTGCAGCGTGTTCAAGAACCGACCAACATGCAAGTGCGACGACTGAACGCGATTACCAGAAAGCTGCAGGATTGCCCGAGGAAGATCGTCTACCAATCGATGACTCCAACGGGTGAGGTCGACCTGCGCAGCGACTCTGGCTATCGCCGTATGAGTGGAGATGCTGATGACGTGGTCAAAGGCAATGGTTTTCGCAGCGAAACCTGCTGCGGCGTGGAAACACGCCTGCTGGTAAGCCTGTCGTCCATCTTATCGACGCGTGTTGCAAGTCTCACCGCCTGCAGGTCCGCTCGTGCCACTCAGCGGAAAAACGAGCAGCAGCCCACAATTCGGAGGGCTGCTATTCCGCGATCGTCGCTCTGCACGAACTCCACGCAGGGCCGCTGACACCCATTCACTTGAAGGATATACTGGACATGGGCTGCTTGAGCATGAAGGTCACTTGAACCATAGATGCGGAATCTGTCTTCAAGTCCAGGCAAGACCCGAAGAAACCGACGGAGTGCGCTCTTCTGGGGCACAACGCTTGGATGCGACAGGTGATGGAGCGAGGTGCCATGCATAGTGTACAATGGTGTGACATTCGCGACATGACTGCGGGCGGCCGCGCCACATGGGGCATCGACAGAGATATGCTCTTACAGGTCATGGGGGGAACGCAATCCTTCAAGCGCGACTTACAGCGCCATGCTCCGCGCAGGGCAGGCCAGGCAACATTGCATGAGGTCGCCTGAGGAGCAATCGCCTGCAAGGTGATCTGCCTGCAAGGCAGATTGCTTGCAAAGGGCACTTGCGTGCTGGTCAACCTTCCTTTTGAACCTTCTTGCTGCTGCCTACCTTGTGCATGTAGCGTGCGCTGCATTGCGGGCGGCGGACTCGCGCTTCGCCCCCCCCCCCCCCCCCCCCCCCCCCCGACTGAGGGGGGCTGGGGCAAGGGCTAGAGATAGCGAGCGTTTGTCCGCGGCCGTTTGCGCCCAACGCGGCCGGCCGCCAACGCGTGACTGCGCCCCATCGCGAGGCGCACTACTTGTCATTGAGACCGAAAACATATTCGCTTGACATTGCCCGTTCGCCCCGCGGCGATCTCGCATTTCTGGAACAATCGTCATTGCGATGCAACAGAGCTGGGGCTGGGCTTCGCCATGGGCGAAGCTGATGTCTAGGCCCCCCAATCCTCTTCAAACTACTTTGTGTTTGTGGCATCCATGCTCGTCGGCGGCGGCTGCGCGCTCTTGTCAGATTGCCGCGGGACTTTGCAGTGCTGTGAGGATCGAGACTTCTCGATCCGATCGGCCCGCGTGCATGTTTTTTCTCCGGAGCGGGATCTCTCGGCGATCTGTTCTCGTGATGGTCCGAGGACAATATGCTCGGGCTGATTGGCGCGAAGGGCGCTACTCTGCATATTTTGAAAGGCAACGTAACCGTGGAGCAGACAGGCTTGCCAAGAAGGGTGCTTCTCTTGCTGGGCGCGACGAAGCTGTCCTTTTGTTGCCAAGGTATGTCGTTCGCTGCCCGCTTGGTTTTGCAGTTTGCAACCAGGGCTGAGGTTCTTTACGCGGAGGGGGGGGAGCTCGACAATGTCGGAACCCAAGGGCTCATTCTGACTTCCCTGGAGAGCGACGGCTTCGGGGCGGCCATCGACGAGGCCAGGGGGGGGGGGGCGCCGGGGGGGAGGGGCGGGTTTTTGCTGATGCGGGCGAGCCCGCCCCCCAGGAGGCACCCCTCGCAGGCCCCGAGGCGGGCTCGCCCCCGGGGGGCGTCCTCCCAGACCTGCCT